TCTACTTACTTTTGTTTAGCACTTAGGAGAGACATGCTTTGTCTTCAAGAGACACACACAGGGATTTTTATGCACCATTCACTTGCTCTCCTTTAAAGAGAATAAAAACTTAGGAACACTTTAAAAGCTTGTGTTACAACATGGGAATGCAACTTCTGGCATATGAGTTATTTCCTGTTTTGTGGAAGTAAGAATCTGGCTTCTTTTCTGGTTCTTGCAGCTGATTCAATGATTGAACTACTTTTCCTTTGTTTAGCTGAGAAAATTTTCTCTTAGTGCTGTGTTCCTGGGCAATCAGATCCACAAGACATGGCACACACTGAATTTGCAGATTGCATTTCTTTAAAGCACGTTGTTTAGCTGCCTCTATCATACTCCTACTTCTCTTACAACAGTCATCTGCTCTACCTGCTCACCCAGTGTTACCACTTGGGTAGATTTTTTTCCACCAACTTCTGCCATGTGGAACCACCTTCTTTTATCTCCTAAGTTCATTAGGTCTTCATAGTTTTTAAAATATTGTCTGAAATTACAGCTGTTTTCTTTCACCTTTTACTCTTCTGTGTTTGGACATATTTCACTAGACCAGGTTGCCCAGAGCCCCATCCAACCTGACTTGAACACTTCCAGTGATGGGGCGTTCCATCTTTGAGCAACCTGTGCCAATGTCTCACCATCTTCACCAAAAAAAGTTTCCTTATGTCTAAATCAACACTTGATAAAACAAAGTATTATTAGAAGGTTTCACAAAGACAGAAACCTGTAACCCCACGGCTACCTTCTTCCTATTGAGGAAAGACTATTACCAGCCTCTGGTTTTGTAGCTTATATTAAAAGAGTTTTCACCAGCACAGCACTGTTGTTTCACTCTGTGTGTATAAATACAAAAATGTCACAGTCTCAGAATGGCTGAAGCTGGAAGACAACTTTGGAGACTCTCCCATCCAACCACACTGCTCAGGCAGAGTCAGCCGGAGCCCGATGCCCCGGGCTGTTTGCATTTGAGTTTGAAATATGCAAAAGACAGATGAGGATTGCACAACTCGTCTGGACAACCTGTTGAGAAGTTTGATTGCTTAAGTACACTCTCTGTCAGGATGCTTTTCTCAATCCTCAGTACCATTCCTATGGTACTCTGATGTACTCTGGGGTATGCTTAACAGTTAGACATTTCGTGCTTACCCATTCACTGCCCAGAGAAGCTGTGGATGCCTCATCCCTGGAAGTGTTCAAGATTAGGCTGAAAGGGGCTTTGAGCAACTTGGTCGAGTGGAAGGTTTCCTGCCCATGACAGCGAGAGCTAGACGGTTGGAGCGAGATAATCTTTAAGGTCTCTTCCAACCCTAGCCATTCTGTGATTCCATGGTTTTCCTGGAAAAGCTAAGAGAGCACAGCTTCTAAAACTGAACAGCACAACATGGATTTTGTAGCTTGTCCTGACTCCGAGAGGTTTTAACAAAGTTTCTACTGCTTTATTGTTTCCCAAATAAATGATTTTGTAAGATATGTCATTCATATGTCTGGTGCTCTGGTGCTCCCTCTGTATTGTTATCTCTAAAAATGCTTGAAAATGTGGAGTTTATGTTTGTTCATTATCCAGAGGTCTTAGCAGCTTCTGGCTCTGTGGGAAACTAATGGGGTAGAGGGCTGAGATGCACTTGATACTCCGTGATAAAGTAAGATTAAAATCTTCAGAAATAATTGAGAGGAAATGAAAAAACAATTTCTCCTGTCATAAAAGTATGGATCGTAGAGCTCATAAATAATTCTTAACTAGCTACCCTGAATGCTTTAAGAAGGGGACAATGTGCCGAGGTAAGGTCAATAAAAAAACTGATTAGAGAATTGACTTTTTTTCTGAATTTAGTGATAAACCTTAGTTTGTAGATGAGTTAACTGTTTGGCACATTATTTTTCTTTCAAAGTGCACTAGTAGCGCTGAATACTGGATTCGCAGACTTTGCTGAAATCATTGCTACCAGAGGTGGAAGAGGTCAGTAGTTGTCTGTCTTGCACAGAAAGTATTCTGAAAGATGGAGAACTGGGGGAAAACCACTTATTCCCACTTTCCCAACCTATTGATTTATTATGTAGAAGATACATTTTATTGCTGTTTAGAGATGCAACTGCATCTACAGTAACATTATAATAAAGAAATATTTTATATGCTTCATATTGAACTTTCTATTAGGTGAAACTTCAGAAGTGGTTTAATTTCAGTTGTTTTTTCTCTCAGGTATTTTCATGGGTTGCAGAGGTTTATTAAGCAGCATATAATTTACATGTGGGATTGTGTTTTTGGTTTTTTTTTTGTTGGTTATGCCAACTGAAAAAGTGGTCTAATGTGCTCTTTTCATTCACATTGGTAGCAAATATAAATACAGACAGTAATAAATGATTCTTTTCGTTATTTTTCAACTTATTGGGCAGTAGGAGAACTTGGCAGTTCAGGGAAACATTATGTTGCAAATAATCCTCTTACCGGAGAGAAAAACTGTGTTTCATGCATTATACAATATAGCAAGCAGTCAAGTTAAACAAATATATTCATTCTAATGGTACCTCAAACCTGTGTAGCAAAGGTGTCTGCAATCTCAGGTAGAAAATCTGCTTAAAATTTTGAATTTTGAGATGGTTATTGTTTATCTTGATCTTTCTTTTTCTTCCTTGCAATGCAAGGACAAATCTCGTACCTTGTTAAAGTCAAAGTGAGTTTATTTTTTACTTCACTGGTGCCAGGATTTTGTCCCTAGCCTGTATGATTCTTCCACATAGGTAAAATTTTACATTTGCTATTAATTATGAGTCTGACTCTATTCATCTGAGGCAACTATATCATAAGAAAGGTGACAAGCATATTGATTATCCATTCATTTTGTGGTCTTTGATGGTGGGGGTCTTTGGCATAGTAGGTAAAGTTCCCTACATGATGAGTAGTCCCTAGCTTTTACAACACCCCTTAGCTGAGCTGACAGAAATGTTTTTGATGTTGCAGCTTACTGTTGGGAAATACTGATGGAGCTGAATGAAAACACTCGGTGGGAATGTGTCAGTGAGATGAGGTTTTGATGGGAAAGCAGGCAGACTTTCACCCTGGCCAGCCACCTGTTTGCTGGCCAGCTCTGCCTATAGATGTTTCTGAAACTCTATATTCCACATGAATCATAAGATCACAGAATGGTTTGGGTTGGAAGGGACCTTAAAGATCAAACAGTTCCAACTCCCTTGACGTGGGCAGGGACACCTTCCACCAGATGGGGTTGCTCAAAGCCACATCCAACCTGGTCTTGAACACTTCCAGAGATGGAGCATCCACAGCTTCTCTGGGCAACCTGTGCCTGTATCTCGCCACCCTCACAATAAAGAATTTCTTCTTTATATTTAATCTAAGATATGAAAATTCGGGTGAATTTTAGTGCCAGTTTGGAAGAAGAAAAGAATTGTTTGGAAAAGTTGAAGCTTTAAGGGATCTCAGTTTTGTTATCTGTCCAAACCATTCCATGTAGCAGCATCGCAGCTTTCTAATAGGTTATTGCTGTTAATATTGGAGTAGCAAAAGAGTGTTCAGGAATTGAGATTGCATGGGCGTTTTTTTTCTATTCTTAACCAAGAATTGTTATTCTCATGTCCCATTTATGCCTTGTGGACATGTTATTTAGACATGAGCCCTTTGTATGGCTGAGTCTCTGAGAAGCCTCTTAGATACGTTAAAAATTGCTTCATTTTTTTCACTCTCTAAAACATACTTTGGACATAGGATTCAAAATAAATGTTTTAACTCTGTTTTACCCTTTCTTCTGAACACTCCACTCAGAGATATTCTATGATTTTATTCAATTCCTTCTGGATGATCATGTTTCTTGTGTTCTTTAATCACAGTATTAAGTAGAGTGGTGATTGAGGGTCAGCTCTGAAAACACGAAGTGGTAATTGATGGTAATTTGAATCTTCACTTAAGTGACTGTTGAAAGGTCTTGGAGAGAACAAAGGGAAGTGTTTATGTCAGAATTATTTTTTTAGTCTGTTTTTCATGGGGTAGGAGAAACAGGTTATATTTTTTCAGAAGATGGTTTTGTAACCTGGTAGACTTTTTTCTTTCTTTCTTTCTTTTTTTTTTCTTTTGTGCCCTTCTGTGATGGAACCTGTCCATCTGTTTTTCTGTCTTTGTGATCAGCAAAAAAATATGTGAAGCAATCTCCTTGACAGATAAGAATCTGGATGTGTGGTTGTGTTTCCAGTCAGCTAGCTTAACTTTCTGAGTTAGTATCCTGCAGGTCCTGAAGAAAGCTAAACAAAACCAAAGCCATACCGGAGAAACTGCTGCATGCATGTGGCAAAGAACAAATGAGCTGGGACAGCAGAAATCCTATAGGTCTCTGTATTTGATAGATCACCTTCCCTCTAAATAGCTGTTACACAGTTGACTTAGTCCACTAAAGAGAAGAGGTACCTCATTTGCTGTCTTCTGATTGTATACAAGTATTTGTCTTCTCTCCTAGAGTAGGATTTTGGTTCCTGGTCATTTTAAAATGTAATGCATTTTTTCTTTATGACTTGAGACTTTTCATTGTGACTTTGGAATCAGGATTGACTTGTAGTGACAGCACTGTTCAAACAATATTCAGACAGAACAGGGAATGTGTCAAAGATTTAATCTAAGTTACTTTCAAAATACTATCAAATAGCCTTTTAAGACAAATGAGATGAATATCTTGTGCTTTTTTATTCTGGGGGAGAAAACGTTTTGATATGTAGTTCAACAACACTTGCAGTACTTGAGCAAAAAGAAAGCTTGGGAATTTTTAGGAGACCTACTAGATTGAAAAGAGGTGAGAAAGTAACACTGCTCTCAAATACAACCTCTGTTTTCTCATTGCATTAGCATGTTATTAAGTAAAAATATTATTGTAATATATAATTTCTGGTAATACAAAGAAACATCTTTGTTTTACCTGCATTGTAAAGACTAATCAGACTATTGTTTTTGCTTCCTTTTATAGGTCGCCTTTTTGAAGATGTGAAGAATACAGATACAGTTGAAAACTATTGTCAAATTTATTTTCAGCAGGAATGTGTACAGATAACTTCCAATGGTGTGAATTCTAGAAAATATACACTGGCAATCCAAAAGAACATGGATGTGTGCTGTGTATTCTTCATATCTGAATGTGTTTCAAAACCAAAGATGGAGTTGACTTCTGCGTCCAGTACATTCTTAGATGTCATTCTAAGAGTGACTAACCTGTGACTCCTCTGACATCCAGCTGGGATAACTGTTATGATGTCTTCATTGCCAAAAGGAAATTCTCTACCCTTATCAGTGTTTGATAGCAATGTATATGTCCTTTGGAAAGTTCACAACTGTAGTAAATATTTTAAAATACTTAATGTCATGGACACTAATGTAAGTTCCTTACCTTCTCTGTTTTGGCGAAGTTAGAGGTCCAGCTTTAAAAGATAAAATCTAGTTTTTGTAAAACTTGTATGTTTCTCACCCATATTGTTTCCACATTGAAGTGTACCTTTCTGCTTGTGAGGGAAGGCAGTTTCTGTATTTCTACACCATATGTAAGTTTTTTTTAAAACTGATAATGTTTTGGTTACTGGGAATAATCATTCCTTCAACAAAGAGCCAAGTGTGTGATGGCTGACCCTGCAGAAACTGCTGGAGGTGAAAGATACTTGTAGAAAGTCAATACAGCTGCTCTAAACTGTTGTTCTCTGTTGTGGGTGCTCAGCTGCCTTCCATGGGAGTGATAGCATATTTACATGGGACACAGAAGCTGTTGTCATTTTTGGTTTTGGAATGAATTATTTACTTAGTTGACAGCAAGTTTTGCCTTCCTTTGTCCAGGGGAACAGGATGGCCTACGTTCATGGGCCAAAGATCAGAAAAGAAGTCTTCTGGAATTTTTGCCTCAATTCCTGCTTGTTGGGATGGACTGCTCTTGAGCTAGAAGGAGGTGGTCCTTTAGTATCAACCATCTCTCTTATCCCAGATATCACAGACCCTTTGGACCTTTTTGGAAAACAGCAATATTTTGGGAAAATGAATTCTAGAAGGAATATTCTTGTTAGATGAGTTTGAAAATTTCTGAATTTCAAGGAAAATTAACACTCCCTTTACATATTGAATGATCCTGATGTAAGAAGTGACCCTACAAAGTGGGGGACACCTGGGTTTTACACATCCAAAGACAGGTAGCTGAGGCCTCCTGGTCTGGATATATTTTTTTCTGTTATTATATTAGTTTTCAGTATTAAAGGATGAACAAAATTATTCTGAATGTTGTATTCAGTGACTAAGTTATCTAGCTTCAAGATATTTTGTCTATGCACCAATGTTTAGTCATTTTATGAATAAAATATTTTTTTTCTAAATTAGTTTACTGTTTGTTCTACCTAATTTCTGTGACAGTTTCAGCTTCCCAGAGTATGACTGAGCAATTTGAAGAGGGAAGTCATTCACTATCACACTGAAGTACTCCAACTTTAAAATCTTTTTAAACCTCTTTAAATGATCCCTTTTATTGTTTTGCATATATGGGGCAATCTTAGGTTAGGGAATATTTGTGCTTTTGAGGTTCAATCTCTGTCGTGTCCTGCCTCATTTGGTGTTATGGCCATAAATAATTAATCTGCCTCTGGTAAGGTGCATGGTTCCAGAATAATGAGTGCAGACATTCCATGGCAAGTATTTTTTTGGGACAGTGCCTTTCCAGAGGTGAAAGACCAATCAGCCCAATCCAGCCTGGTCAGTCTCTCACCTGTAGGAGTTAATGGCTCCCATTATGTTCCTACAATGGCAGTGCTGCAGCAGGCTCAGGAAGGAAATCCTGAGAGAGTGCCAAGCCCAGTGTGTACACGTAAAACATGAAATTTCTTGGCAGCTTGTCCTCTATATGTATGTTTAAAGCTTTTACTTTTTTTACCCTATACATTGGTGATCAGGGTTTGCCTGGGGTGTAGTTAACATTCCTCATAGCAGCATGTATGGTGCTGTGGTATGGATTTGTGGCTCCAGCAGTGCTGGTAGCACACCAGTGTTTTGACTACAGCTGAACTTTTTCTCATCTACCCCCTATGCCCACCTACTCCCAGTAAACTGGCTGAAGCTGGGCAAGAAGTTAGCAGGGACAGCTGACCTGAACTGGCCAGAGAGATATTCTGTACCATACAGCATCAAGCATAGCAGAGAAACTGGGGTTAGTGAAAGAAAGGGGAGGAGAGGGGTGTCTTCCAAGGTGTTGGTTGCTCAGAGAATAGCTGAGCATCCTTCTGCTTGTGGGAGGTGATGAGTTAGTTACTGCCTTTGCGTCACTTCGTTTCATTTTTGTTTGATTGGTTGTTTGTTTTTTTTTCTCTAACATATTAAACTCTCTTTCAACCCACAGGATTTCTTGCTTTTTTCTTCCTGTTCTCTGCCCTGTCGTGCTGGTGGAGGAATGAGGGGTGCATGAGCAGCTGGATGGTTGCTTAGCTGATGGCCAGGGTTGATGCACCACAATTGGAAGTAGAATTGTGAAATCACCAAATGAAAAAGAATAAAAGTCTGTTCCAGCTGCCCTCCCATTTGGGGGACATTTTTCTGTCCCAGATTCCCAGTGGCTGCAGTTGTCTGTCTGTGTCCATAGGAGGGGCAGGGCAAATTGACACACTTGGTGTCATTTCCCTTTCCTTGGTTCTAGCTTTAAGACCTCCATTGACATTTACCTATTGAAATTATTGGGAAAATATCAGACCACACATGATAATATATAATTGCTAATTGATAATATATAATTGGGGTCTTTCCATTTGAAAGTAGATTTCTTTGACCGTGTTCAGAAAAGGTATGGTCTTATGCTTTCCCATATAGGTACTAGGCAATACATTATTCAGAACCCCGGTTTCTGAAGACAAATTTATTGGTGCTTTTTTTTTCCTGCCTTGTATTTATTATGTCACTTTTCCTACGGAACCACTAGTGGATCAGAGGTGTGACAGCTTCATTTGACACTTTCTTGCATTCTGTCTTCTTTATAAAAGCAAAACTTGGCTTTTTTTATCTTTGCAGTGAACCATGGGATCTCATAAAAAATGGACTTAGGTTCAGAAAAACTGTCTAGTTCACCTCAAGACTTCTTACTTGGCCTTTGCCTGTCACTGCTCTTGCCTCCATTTCTCTCTCTGTTGAATAGCATGATATTTAGTTTTACTGTTTTCTTGTTGACATCAGCATTTGGAAAAGTAGTGTAAGTACAAAGCATAATTCATCACTGTGTTATTGTCTTCGCATCCAGAGTTAATAGTCTAAATATTGTGTTTGGATACATCCATAACAGAAAGCTTGTTTCATTTTGAAGCGTGCAGATGCTATCTCCCTGAAGATGGAAAAGCCTGCACCAAGATAGGGGCTGTCCTAGAAACTGTGCACTTCCAAAATGTTTGGTCCTTCTTATTGTTTGCCCTCTCTCCCTGGCATTTTGTGTCTGTTACAGTCTGGATTCTGCACTGCAGAAAGTGTCTTAATTTTTGCTTTCTCTAGCACCAAGCATGGTGTTAGTCCTGAAGTAATAATAATTAATCAGCAATGACATCAAGAAGTCCCCAACTTGCATTAACTGAGACAGATGTGCATCCTTTCCTAATGTGCAGTTACCAAATAGTGCATGGCACAAAAAGAGATTAAAAATGACTGCTTTAATTCTAATATGCCATCAGATTATAAAGCTGACTATTGGTGTGGTGCAGAAAACATGCCTATCTGTCAGACCAGTACTGTACTCGCCATTAGCAACAACAGACAACAATTTTGTTTCTGGCATTAACAGGTCACAGGGCAATTCTATTTGTGTAGGGCTTGCTACTTCTTTTAAACAAGTTTGACCATTTAACTGGGATAGTTAAACTGGCATACCAAATTGAGTCCCAGTGGGACTATTTTAATTCCAAAATTAGTCTGACTTTCTAGCTTAGTTTTAATCCCTGGTGGAGTAGGTTAGGATAAACTGAATAATCATTACAAGTGAGTTAATCAGAGAGCTGTACTGTTCTTACCCTGTGAGTTGAGGGGCAAGTTCTAGTTTACCTCCATTTTACTTTTCTGTGTAGAGAAACTTTTATATATAAGAAACAACTTTAATTAAAATTTACAATGGATGATCCTGCTCTCAAACATTCTGGGTTTAAATGCAAATGCTTTTCAGTAATTTTGTTTTGCTGCCTTCATTTTTGTTCCTCCAGAACATCACTTTGTGGTTACAATTTTAGACTTTGTGCCCTACCATTTCTCTTCTAGCCAACTCTGCTCCATTATAAATGACAGGTAGCTTGTTTGAGTTACTGCATTAGCTCGTAACCCTCATTCCTTTTGTTTTAACTCCATGGGTTTTCTTGCTATTGTTGTATCAGTGTTTTAGAAGCACTGCAAAATCAGCAGATGGACAAATTATAGAAGCATTGAGCAACTCTGTCCTTTGAAACTGCTTCAGTTTATTCATTCAGAGCATGCCGAATTGCCTCACAGCAGACGTCTTGGAGCATTAGTTAACGTTCACAGAATATCAGGAATTTTGCAGGTCCACATGCAAATGGTTCAGTAGCAGCATTTATGTCTTCCAATACCTGATTGATTAAAGCAGGGCATTTTTTTAACTGTGGACAGCAGTGGCTGTGTTCAGGTCCCATGATACTGTGGCTCTGTGTGTTCAGCTGTGTTCTCTTAAACATGGCAGTAATGCTGTGTTCTCTCTGCCACATGCTTCATTCCCTTCCGATCATCTTACACATGGATTATGTAGGTCTGTGTTCTGTGTTTTTAGTGATAGATGCTTCTTCTACCTGCTTATATTCAGTGATTTTATAAATGTGTATCAATTTATCAGAGTAAACAGTAGAAAACTGTTTGATTCAAAATATAAAACATCATCTTATGTGCTTTCAAACACTTCCTCAAGATTGCAAAGCATTTCAGTATTTATCTTCTTTGGCAAAACTGCCAGTGTGGGCAGGATGGCAGAGCTGCAGATGGGCAACGTGTTTGTGTCACTGGCAGCTCCACCAGAGGCTGGTGAAACAGACTTTACACCTTCTTTACACCTTCATTAATGACACCAGGTAATTGCAATCGTGATGGGTCAACCATCTTGTCTTTCACCTATGTGTGTTTCCCCACTTTTAAAACTATGACTGTATCATAAAGGTCATGACTCTCCTATCAGTGACAAGGTCATTTGCTCAGCAGTACAGCTGGGAAAAAAGTCCTCCCTGTGTGGCCATAAATTGAGTTACACAGATGAAGGGCAGACCATCAAGTACAATAAAACTGATGTAGCTGTCCGGACTTTAATGGAGCCATTGCCAGTTTACATCAGCCAAAGATGTTCAGTGTAATAGGAGAAAGATGAAGTCTCTTGTCTTCTCCTGTCAGCCCCACTCCAGAATATATATCTGAGTTGGCACACATATAGAAAGAGGGCTGGCTATGTCAGAAAAAGGCCTGAGACCATATGTGGACAGACATGGAGACAGTTGCCATCATTGTGCCATCCTAATGTGAAGGCTCAGCAGAGCTCACAAGTGAAATTGCAGAGGGTCATTGGCTGTAAAGCAAGAAGGGAGAAAGAAATTCCGTGCTCTATCAGCTCTGCATGATGTAGTCCTAGATTAATAGGCTTACTGAGTATATCCATGATGCAACGGCTCTGCTCTCAACTTCTTTGTCAACTATGTCAGAAGTTTCTAGTTTCTATCTGTGACTAATGGGAAGCATGACATGCAATAATCCGATTGTATAGTTAGCGTAGGCTGTTTGCTCAGATTACTTGACTTGTCCTTTACCAGACTTTGATTTATATGAACATAATATGAAAAGGGCAAGCACAGTCCTTTGTTTGAGCTTTGAAAGAAAATGGAGGTATGGACAATTTACAGCTTGTGCTTTGTTACTCTAAAGAGGTCTTGTGAATTTGTTGGAATAAATATTTTCAAACACTTGAAACAAGATGAAAAGGCACTAAATTAAGAGTGCCTTTTAAATTTGTGGCTATTGGGAAGAAGATACACGTTGCTGTTTTAGATTGATTCACAGTAATTATTAAGATCATATTTTGTGGTTGAGATGCACAAAAATATCTTGACTGTTGCAGCCTCTCTTATCTCAAGAGAACAAAGAGCAGTGTCTGTTCCGATCCAGCAAGCACAGCTCTGGCAGCTCAGGCAGTTCTCCACATAGGTAAGTAAACAAGGCATGAGTGAGCCCCACAGAGGACAGGGAACATGGCGTGACAGAGGGCTCTGTAAGATACTTGGAGGGAAAATACATTTAACAGTTCACCTGAAGGAAACATTTTTTCTGTCCTTTTTTTTTCCTGTGCTTTTTGCATTGCAACAGGCATATGAAAAACATCTTGTTAAGCTGGGGATTTTGGAATTGGCATCATTATTTGCGAATGAAAACGTGTTTTCTGGCCTGTTGGGTTTTTTCAGTGGTAACATGAACTCAAAAGAACTGGACTGACTATGTGACCAACACGTCTGTCCTTGAACAGGCAGCAGTCACGAGCATTGAGGCCATGCTGCTGAGAACACAGCTGCGCTGGGCAGGGCACGTCTCCAGGATGCAGGACTACCGCCTCCCTAAGATCGTGCTCTGTGGGGAACTTGCCACTGGCTGCCGCAAGAGAGGAGCCCCAAAGAGGAGATACAAGGACTGCCTGAAACAATCCCTCAGCCTTGGCCATATTGATCATCACCATTGGTCTACCCTGGCCTCCAATCGGGAGGCCTGGAGACACACCATCTATAACGCTGCTGCTGCTTTTGAGAACACACGCAGGATCACTCTCGAGGAGAAAAGACAATGTAGAAAGAATCGCGTCTCGTCGATATCACCTGGGGAGTCTTTCTGCTGTGCCTTCTGCAACCGGACTTGTCTATCTCGCATTGGCCTTTTTAGCCATCAGCGCGCTTGTAGCAAGCGTGGGTAGAGCCCTTCTCAAATCTTCGTTCGCGAAGCCTAGCCATGATGATGATGATGATGATGATATCTACTTACCAGTGGATTTATTAATGTATGCTTTACAATCTGTAACTTCCTCCTCTTCCAGAGGAGGACAGATTTGACACTTGCTCAGCAAGAGCAACCATTTTCACAAAAGTATATTAGCTTTCACCAAATTTAGAAAATTTCTGTTTGAAGTAGAAACTAGTTGCAATTTGTTGTTATAGTTACCAGTAGACTAGTAAGTAAAAAAGGCCTAACATGGGCTATTTGTTTTGTAGTTTATCATTTCACATTT